AGTATGTATGAAGATGGAAGGAATAAAATCTTTGGAGTTGATCAATCCCATTTCTGAAGTGTGCCCGCATTCGACTTCGACCCGACAAATGGCCTAGAGAAGGGGTAATAAGGGCTCCAAAACCGGCATAGCCGACATACACACTCGAAGGCGGACGAATTCTCTCAGCGTTGTAGAGGTTGAACGATTCGCAAGGAGTCGCACACATTGCACACAGGCAGTTTACGGTGGCCAGCTGGATGCAATTCCACTCAAATTTGAACGAATCGTCTAAGCGCCCCTTTCAAGCAATGTTCGTCGTCACATTCTCCTTCAGCCATTAATTTTTCTACTTCTTTGAAGTATTACACTTCTCTAATATGGCGATTCTCGTGTTTTCTTTGGCCGTTTTCGCACTATTTTGGGATATCGCTTCTATTATTTATTTATTTATTTGATAATACATCACAAGGATGTGACACGAGAAAATGAATAGAAAAATATAATTCAGACACACTACATAATTCATACACAGCATCAAATCTCATTTTAGCAAGGGTGTCATTGGTGCCCATTAAACCTTAAGTTATCGTGAACCGTGCCTTTAAATTTATACTGAATGCATAGGTACGGCCTCTAAACTGCTCAAGTGATCCCTCGCCTTAAACAATGGATCACACCATTGCAGCTTCTCTTTCCAAGGAATAAAGAAGGAAAAGCAAAACGGTTCATCAAGTTCTACCATCTTCAAAGGCGTCTCTACAACTTCTTAAAACCCCTTATGTCTATAAATTGCCCTTTTGCAAATAAACACAAATTTCCTAACTAGCTACCCCGCATTCGCACACTTTCTCTGTTTTTCGAACACTTCTGCAAGCTGTTAGGGACAGAAGCACACCTTCAACACAATCCCATACTATGCCTGCCCACGTCCACGATGGTCGAAGCTGCCGCAAAACTGCGTCTGTCCCACGCGGCCAAAAATGTCCAAACGTGCGTTGTCGTCAACGTGTTAAACAGATAATGGACCCCACTTACGTCACATGGCCGCAAAACTTCTACTCAAATGTTATAAGGAACAAACCAGTACTGCAAGCATTGCACCATACGTGATTGCTGGAATAACAAAATCGGATCGATAACAGCCGACAATCTGGAAACAATCTAGGGCTTGAAACCTTGCTGAAGATCTGAATAAAGAAATTAGAATCACCTGATCGCGGCACTGTTTGGCGAGACTCCAATCGGGAAGGTGAACAGAAGATTCGAAGAGGAGTTCCAAATTTTCAACATGAGAACTTCTTGCTATATCACATACTTCTTTCCAACGACACAATTCCTTTGTACATCTGAGAAATTTAGTTAAAAGAGGTTGTTACTCTTTCCATTTAGGTAACTGAATATACCATATTGAATGTCAAAACGGAAGCCACAATGAACACATTATACGATAAGGACAACATTGGGAAATCTCGCTAAACTTCCCCAGGCAACCCTTTCTTGTTTTGCTGTTTACTGTTTCCTCTCAAATAGGAATGATGGGGACACTCAATTGGAGTCGATATTCAGGATCCCACAAGCACAATATCAACTAGACATATCACAACTGAACCAACAACATCACGCCCCTACAAAATTCGAAAATGCTGGTTAGTGAAGAACCATCGGAAAAGGGGACGGTATGGCTCCAGCTATTGCCTTGATCTTCGTGTTCCCCACTGTAAGTCGCTAGACTCTGCGAAAACTCTGTGGTACAACAATCACATTTCTTCAAGACGACTGAAAATATTGACCATCGAGATGGATGGGTGCTTACCAGAACGAAAACCCGTGAATATTCCGCCAGGCTAAACTAGGATTCAAGCAGGCGCCTGTACCGTTTCAAAAAATCATTGTATCCGTTGGCAGTTCTCGATCTGTTGTTGGACCTGTCATTCCATTCCCCCTTCCTACTTTATCGCTTCCGGAGGAGAATTCCTTATCAAATACCTCTTTTTGAAAGTTAGCCGAAAGCGAACTACTCACTGTATGTAAGCATTATCGAAGAACTCATATTCTTGGAGATTGGCTTCAGTGATAGAAGTTCTTCCATACTGACTTTCTAACCGTTGGAGCATTGCACTAGCAGCCGCCTGACCATAATTCAACGCTTCTTCAATGTCACCCTAAATGATAGATCCGAGATAATTCACGACTGCGAGGGTAGTAGTTGCGCGAAAACTCGTACAAGTTGCTGCATAGCCAAGATTTTGACGCTGTCTATTGTAACTGCCCGTCGATTCCACACAGCAGCGTACTGATCCTGCTCGGCAAGTTCAGAGTAGAGCATTCCCAGGCAATTCAACACGTCCTGAAGATGACCAATTTAGAAAGAAGCTGAACTTATTGACAAAATAGGAGCATTCGCCTGGAAACATACCAAGTTTTCCTGAACATTCATACCAGATCCCTGCTGCAAACACTCTGGGCTATTGAGCATTGGTGGTATACATAGGGCACGGCTTTCCAGTAACAAGATCCCACGATGCCACGAATGATAATAATGAGAAATAAACTGTAAAAGAACAAATTTCAAGCTGGACTAAGCTGGCATTTTTCATTCCAAGCACTGAGAGGACCCACTTGAATGGCATTAGCATCAATGGGAATTGGTGGATTACAGTGAGAAAATGTTTCCAAAAGGATGTTGATCACAGGGTGAACAGCATGAGCTTGTTGCACATGACCACCTGCCGTCATGAAAGGTACTGCCAATCCTGAAAGAGTACATTGAGCTTCTATTTGAGACCGTCTTGCAATCAGCAAAAAAATACCTCCAATATAGCTCCGTTCCTCTTCACTCATTGAAATCCATAGAGAATGAAACAGATGGGAGAACATGTCACTAATGAACCCTATGTCATCTGAAAGTGTTCAACATTTGCAAAAAGAATATGCGATTGATAGGTGAGCTCGTTAACTTTAGGTGAGGGTAGGTACGTTCAGACCGAGTACTTCAACTTTGGACAAAGCCGCATCTCTATTTTCGATGGCATGAGGAATGGAATAGGGTAGGAGGGGTTGGAGTTACTCCGGACGACATTCCAAGAAAGTCTACTCCGTACACATGCTAGCGGTGCTAGACCAGCTGGACGACCCCACCCGACTACGTTCTTTCTTATGTGCAACCCAAAAACTCCTCCAATGGCTCCGCGACTCAACAAAATCAGTAGAACACCTCAGAATAGAATCGGCTAACATACACCAGTTTACCCTGTATTGCTTGGAAGCAGGAGAATTATATGAAGTGAAGAGTTGGAGAATTCTTCGTTATTCCGAGTTTCTTGGAGCTGGGGAACCAATGGAGCAAGATAAGGAGAGTTCCCCACGAGAATTTTCCATTAATTTCCAGACGAAATATTCGACGTTAACAATGTGCAAATGTGTAACGTCAGACATGTCTTCTCCTCACCCGCCCTTTTATTTCGAGTGAATTTCCCAAATATTTTCATGATTTTTCTAGAAGTTGGCTATATTCATGTTCTAACAGCTTGTTGTTCAATGGAAGAACGAAAGTTCAACTTTGCCTAGTTAGAAAAGCTGGTAATCCAATATTTCGACTTTATTTTTCAACTAATTATTAGTTCCTCGGGCGGAGGTGGTGTAGTGGCATGGGGTGCACTATATCAACAGACACGCGCTCATGGGTTCGAATCCCAGATCGATATTCGCCTAAGCCAATCAAGCCTTCTATCCCTCTGGGGTCGGTGAATTGGTACCAGACTCGTCTGGGAGGATAAAAGCACTGACTTGTACATCGGCTGGCCACCGCAAGTCATTGCATAGACCACATACGCATTCATTACGCCACCACGATTCTGAGTGGAAGTCGAGTGTAAGGGCACATCCCTCAGACGGGACTGATTAACGCCAGTCCCCATCTTACTCCCCGTTTTAGTCAATGCATTCCAGTAATACTAGAAAGTGGGTCGCTCTAAAAGATTCGTTGAATAGGTTTGGGTCACGACTTATATCCCTGTTTTGGTGCCACACATTTCACGGAAAGCCTCCTACCCAACCCGGTATCTAATTGCTAGGAGCAATCAAGTAAAAAAAATAAATTTTTCTGACCTTGAACAGTGAATACGAGTCCAACGATGCAATCCACTGCTGCTGAGAAGTCGAATGACGCTGCTTCGATCAATAAACTCTTCTGATCTTCAAGATATTCATCCATACGAGTAGACATGTTCGAATCTCCACTCGCTCCCTCCTGATCAGTCTCCATGGGTACTTCTTCATCTGCCTTACTCTAAACCCGATTTTGTACAATTTAAACTTGCGGAGGGCTGAGGATCTCCTATTTCAATTCCGATTGAACCAATTGAAGGCAGAGTTCACGATAAAAATAGTTTCTGTGATTTCCCTATGGTATGAATTCGAGGCTTCCTCTTATACAATACCCGCCCTTACAAAGCCGAAAAAGTCCTGGATAGGGCACAACAAGGGACCAGAGATTATATCGTTTGAACGCCACACCCATAGTGACCGAGTTCAACGGCAATGTGGAGGCTCCACAATCTCAAGAGACTCCCATGTAGGAAGTTCAAACAACTTGGCATAACCAATGGCGACCGAGAAGGGCAGTTTTGGACAATTCGGTTTGATGTAGGCATCTCTTTGCGCAATGGGAGCAAGCGAAACCTCGCCCAAACACCCCCACACCCCTACATGCCGAGCCCATCACGGTAATCTCGTACAACCTCCACTTCCACTACTTTTAAAAAGCCTTGAAGTAGGCGGATTTCCTCGCATTCTTCACCACCCATGTACTCTTCTACATCAACACTTCCGTTTTTCAACCCAAAAAAGGGTACGTCAAAATTATCGCGAACTGTGCCTTTAGGCAAGAACAAAAAGGATAATTTCTTAATAACTGGGAACAGTTACATCAGTGCCAATTTTCGTGGTGTAGAGCGATGAGGAAATGGCATGAACGTCCGTTTCCAGTTCCGAGCCCAGTGACGATGGACGGAAGCCCGCTACCGCGTGCATGGTTCTCCAAAGAGTAGCCGAACTGTCAATGAATATTCGACGATGTCCAGCAGCAGAAGACACTGGAAGCACTTGACTATGGCAAATTCCAACAATTCAATCGAACTTACTCTGTGGCGTTCCTTAAATGTACCTGAAGCAGGGATACATCGTAACAGCAGCCACAGTACGTGGCGCAGCCAGAAATAGTCTCTGAAAGGCTCCCAGTTCTTGTCGCGGAGTATGTACGTCAGACGAGCTATCGGATTCACAGCCAGATTTCGCTCGAACACAAGGAGAAATTTCTCGCGCATTTCTCGGTCCTGCAATTACTACTTCTTCATGATATGGCATTACTTTGGCATTTACAACTCTTGATGTACCTGTGCAGTTAAGCCCCAATGAAACGCATCCTCCAACTTTTCAGCGTAATCAGAGGTAAGCAGAAGTGGATGTTCAAACACAAAAAGAACGACTTTCAGAAACATTTTCATCAATTCACTGTTGGCTCTGAACGGAAGGGGCTCAAATTTAACCACACAATTTTTCAAACACCAAAAATAATAAAAATGATGAAAACCTGTAACGCTTCTCGACCACACTTTGCAAACGCACCAGAAGTGGAAGTCCTGGATTTGCGCAGTTCTGAAAAGGTTCAATCGGTCTATCGGCTAGAATGAAAACTCTCGTTTTCATACTCAATTTATCACTCGCTAAATGGCAAGAAGTTGAAAAAGCGAGGTTTGCTAAGGATGGAACTGAGCCCACATGCAAGAGTGGATTTATTGTTATATTTCTACCCACTAGATCATATCAACGAAATGAGAGGTGATTTTTGGTTGCTCCCACACGACCCATTCTAGCCCCCATGGAAACCGAGGTGTGGCGCAGCGGCACAGGGCAGAGTCGACCTCGGCAGAAGCCACTCTGGGTGTATGTTTAACAAACGCGAAGTTTTTTATCGCTCCCAAGTTCAAATTAAATTTCTCCTCACAGTAAAACTATTTACAGATAGCACACTGAGAGACGCCCTTGCTCCTCACCCATCACCAACAAATAGAGATAATGAGGCCCTCAGTTTGAAAGTCAGCTACTGACAGCCACCAGGAACACTTGCCAGTATCCTCAACAGACCGCAATAGTGGACTTCTAAAAAGGTCAGACCGCAGCGAGGTGGCTCTTCTCCTGTCTCCTGTCGCACACCTCTCCTCTCCTGTCGCACACCTTAAATGCTGATGACGAAGGTGCATTTTCAGAAATATGGGCCATGAGACTGTAAACAATTCCGAACGCCGACGCTTTACAAACTGTACTGGGCCACTGCCCTCCTTTTACCCTAGCAAGGACAATGATTTCGCAATGAAGACCCTTGTCTACTGAATGAAAAAAGATGAAGAGCGTGCTCAATGCAAGAATCATGAACAGTGAAAGGTTCGTACCAAACCTTACTAAAGGAGTCTAGTCAGTAAATATTCCCCGTGACTACCACCAACTACCCAATACCACCGTAGAAGTCAAATTGTACAGTTGTAAAGATCATAATGTCTCATTTTCCCGGAACTTTCCACAGTCCAATAAGGTGATTAAATAGACTTCCAAAAGCGAGGAAGAAAGATAAAGTCCAACCTCATCTCGATGTGTTACGACCAACTCGGACACAACGCGTAGCACCACATCAATGATTTTGTCAAAGGTAGAGCGTTCAATTAGTGGAAGCAAGACATTCTGACATATGGTCCTTTTCGCTTCTGCTGATATAGCCTCAACCCGAGGACGCAACATTTCCAACGCCATAGCAATCATTTCAGCCGTCGCAACTTAAANAAAGGAATTCCGAGTTGCTCAAGTAATCGAATGAAGAGCAGCAATTAAAAAACTCATGAATCACTAACCTTTCTCTCTGGTCGCTTCGCCTTGCTCTGTAATGTGTCCTATGTGCTCTCTAACGGCCTTTTCGAGTACCTTCAAAAATGGTTTCGGTAAATGATGCAATAGAGCAGTACGGTAAAAAGGATCACGTCAAAGATCTGTACGGGCTGCTGGATAAACCAATGTCTCACGGCTCATTTTTACAAACTAATTTCTCTGAGCTTGACGTGTGGCAGAAGATGCTACTTCCTACACCCACACTGACATTATGTAACATGTAGGAGCTGATTAAAAGAATCTACACGCTATGATGCGCGAGCCAAAAGTCTTTATAACCAACAAAGCCCTGTCTCAAAGACTTTTCCTCAATCCTGCCAGCCTCGAACTCGACCAATTCTACGGCTCAGAAATATGATCACACTTCTACACGCCAGCACTCTATGGTCGACGAGATTTTATCGACCAATTGTATATCAGCAAAAGCTTTCGCATTTCCGGTACCTAGGGAGGGTCCTAGAGGTCTAGATCAGCTTATACAAGTTCACCCTTAGCCCTACAACCACCACACATCTTCGTGCTCGTATCTGTTTATTACAGCTGGTATGTTAGCAAAAGAAAAAGAAGTTGGTATAAAGCACCTTGATATATGCTTGTAAGCACATCGCGTCCAGATATCCCGGCTGTTGCGTGCAGATTACTCTAAGTAATGATAAAGCCGTGAAGGCGTTCATTATCATACACGCCGACGATCTGTAAAACAAACAAACTTATTCTTAATCTCCGATTAATAAATGTAGAAGTACGGGAGGCCAGGGCCCTATTGCGAGATCCAGAAGAAATCGCAAGGATCGTAAGTTAATGTAACCTGGGGATAGCAAGTTCGACGTTTTAAAGACGCGAGAGTGAGAATCGCCTCAAAATTGTATGGGCGATGCAAATATCATTGAATTTAAGGGCTTTCAAGAATAAAGGAGTTCAGTTGCAAAAAATCTGTAATAACCAGGCATGATTCGCGATAAACTCACTTCACATAGGAATTGAAATGGTCGTTCAAGTACTTTGATATAAACTGGTTGAGGATCTCGAATTCGTACATGCCAGTCATCGAACAGTTGGATTTTTCAAATAATTTCGAGACGAGCATATTGACAAGACGAACCAACTAAACGGCATCAACCGCATAGTACAACACAATATAAATACATTTATAAAAAAAAGAACAAAAAGAAAACCGAAATTCCATACCGTGCTATGCCCGCAGTTCAGGCACGAAATTATAGCTCGTTGAAGAGGGCGCACAGTTTGTAGTAGTAACGGCTTCGGCTACAAAAAATTATTCTGCATTCTTCCTTCGCTATTTCGAACCAAAATCGTCTTCAAGTAGATGTTGATGGATGCGAATCTATCAAAAGTTGGAGTCCCCCACCATACAAGCCAGCTGGCTGAGCATAGGAACTTTGGACACACTTATGCAAAGTTACCCTTCCTCTCTTTTGCACATCATTCTAACTAGGCTTTTCTGAGAAATGACATCCTCTAAGGGCAGGGTAAGAATGGTGGAACAAATCGTGGTAGCCCTTGAGCCCAACGAGCTTTCCACCGCTTTAGAGTCGCCTGGTTGGCACAGACCAGTCCCGCAAGATGAAAGCATGGACTTACCCATTGGCTAGCCTGCGGGTCACTGAATAGACAGAACACGCTCTCAAAACGTTACTGTGGGTCCGAATAGATGTCAAGGCACTTCCCAAAACTTGACTGGCTAATTACATCGTCAAAATTTCATTATTTACGCTGTGAGACACCAAATTTCGAGCACATTACTAGCAGCAATCGTATCATCTATATACCCTACATGACAGTGAAATATCGGCATAACGAATTGTGCCACTTCTGCTCCTTTCGAATCTATTTATTGTCGCCACTTTATTACTACTCTACGATGTTGAGTGGCTACGCAATTGGTCCATCGACACGACACGTCTTGGGACTAGAAATACCGACCATAGCTTGTAGTCATATATAATGGGAATCAGCAGATTGCTGCTTTGTTTTTTGCTCCTTTTTGAGGACTTGACCATTGTTGGGCCCCTACGAATATTGCCTAGATAGATGGGAATTCTATGTCAGAACAATCTCCATCAGTTCTATTTCGTAGGTTGATGGAGCAGTTCCTGGTTACTTGAAATTTACCACTGACCATGATCGTTACCAGGTTGATCACAACTTCAAGTGCTTGTTGAGATTGCGAGATTGACTGAGCGAATTGGGCTTGGTTTTCCTGTCGTACCAAGGACTCTGGTGGTACTGTTAGTTCTTTTTCAAGCCTAAAAAGGAAAGCACAGGATTATCACTCAAACAAAATTACATCAAATTATCAATATCCAACTTAATAAACTGACCATCCAACTTTGATAGTTACTATATCACCCCAAACAGCGGATTTGAGACATTGCTTCATGAGTCCGATGCTTCGTTTGCCGTTTTCAACTGTCGCCTGATGTAGCTGGTGCGGTTGAACGCCGGTCGTAGGCTGCAAGAGGTGTTCTTAAGCGAAGAATAGCAGTATTTCGAACCTTTCTCGTTCCGGTACCTGTATGGCGAACTTCAGAAGCATGGCAACTACTTCATCTGCACATTCTTTTGACATTTGCTTGTACAACTGGTCGTCAAAATCACCACCCGCATTGCCTGGAAGTTTGAGCATGTGAAATACAGTACCGTTCAGAAATGATCCAACTCACTTGTCGGAATATTGCTTGATGAAGGGCCTGCTTGCCTGTCCTGATCATTCAGCAATGACTCAAACTGAATAGTTCGTGAGGCAGTAAAAGGTAATGATGCTTCAAACTACATTTTTCTTGTGCAATTGTCAACTTCTTATTTTCTCACCTCATCATCATGAGATGTTAGCCCTTGTGTTAACTGCTCAACCTTTTGCAAACGGAGTAATTCCCATTTGATTACCATCTCGCACATATCCAAAGCAAGTTTTCGAGTCATTACTCTGAAAAACTTTGTTCATACAAAAGGAACAACAGACAGGGAGCTACCGTACCCATCCATGGCAGAATTCGGAGTGCTTATTACACGACGTACAGCATTCATGAGAGGTTTGAAAAGGGCGTGACGACATGAGAAGTAAGAGCGATAATTCCGAACCACCATGCTTCTAAAAAATCATTAATTATTGATTATTAGGGATATTGAAGAGTTATCGTACACTATGTGTTGGATATGCTGCAGACTGTGGGCCTCCTCGCAGAGGACGCGTTTCACATTGATAAACATTTGATGGTGTCCATCGTCCATTCGGATCGGCATGGCTGCTGTGACCACGTCGGCTGCACGTCTGACAAGCTCGCGACTGTCATACTGGAAGGAGCCGCAAAGCGCTTGGAACACCTATAATGAGGGAAGGTACCGATGGAGTATATAGCCCAAACGGTAGAAGCATGAGCACACGAACTTGGAGCACTATTTTTCTGTTTATCGTGAACTTCTGAACAATATGCGAGATGAAAAGGAAGCCTGTGTATCGAAGCGTAGCGTCCTGCCTATTTGTAGGAGTGAGGCAAGACCATGCGAATAACATGAAGACTCGCAATCGCCATCCATGTTTCCTAAAAGCCACATGTACAAAACTGAGTGAAATAAGAAGGATGGAGTAGGTGTACAGGATGCACACTCAGCCTGTCTCTAAGTTGATGAAAAAAAAAGTTGCCCTATTGCCTGGAGTGTCCAAGGCTTGTGGTAAAACTCGTTCGTGATAAATGTCGAAAAACAACCTCGACAGGGGGTTATAAGAGCTCCAAAGCTCCGGCTTGGCCGACGTACACACTCAAAATGGCCGTGTTATGACGGCCCCGTTAACGCTGGACCATCCACAGTGGAACGTTAAGACGCCGACAAATAGTACACTTACGTACGAGACGCCCAGACGGTCACAGACACAATAATCTCGTACAACCATTTCCTACTACTTTTTGAAGCATTAGTTTTCTCGAAATCCATCGGTTTCGGCGTTTTCCTCGCCATTTTTTGCACTATGTATTCTGCATCGAAACTTACATTATTCCTACTGAGCCTCACAATTATCGTGAACTGTGCCTTTTGGAAAAAAAAATTTAAAAAATGTAATACTAAAATCCATTAAAGCCCACGTAAGACTGAAAGGACCCACTTCGAATCATTATTATGTACATGCCGAGGTGCATGTTTCACAAGTAGTGTGCAAAGCTGATACAAAACTATCACAATGCCATCGCTCATCACTTGCCGATTTTGGTCAATGATCTGAAAGATTTTTAAATGGATGGATTTATTGGGTGCTACACCAGTTCAGGAGAAAGAAGAAACAAGACTCACATGCGCTAGGCGATAAACCAGATCGTTGGGGTCATTTTCGGGTTGCTCAGAAGGATTTTGAATTTCTCCAAGAATCTGAAACGTCATTACAAAGCAGAGAAGGTACTAATTAACTTATGAATAACCCTGAAGAAAAACTTACTTCATCGACATTATAGCGTTCAAAAGCCCACTGCAGACTCGGAATCAATACATACTGTACGATTTTCACATACAACAGATCCTTGATGACAGTCGAGCCTCCAGCTTCAAACTTCCCCAGCACATACGAAAAAAGTTTCCGCCTCCACTCCATAGAGTATGTCTGAACAGTTGTCATTTTGCTCCAAACAAATGCTTTAAAAGGGGGTCGGTACTTACAGGTATCACTTCTCTTTCAAGGAATTCGCGAACAAAACAAAAATCTGTGACATATCTCCCAATGAAAACAAACAGTATGTCGCAAAGAAGATCAAGGTCGTTGTTGTTGTGTCTGAAATTGACAACAGTCAAAAAATAAACAAAATCAATTTAGCTATCTGTTCCGGGATTTATGGTACCTGTAATGTCGTACGAAGCAGTTCACTAGGAGTCTTGGAACCTTATACTTGTGTTCTGTCATCATTTTGATCGTCAACTCTTGTAGATCTTTACTGCATGGTGCATGAACCACGTAACGTCCTTTGAAGTCAGCATTGTTCCACAACTGAATTGCTAATAATCAGTACTTGAGCTACTTATGCCACCTATTTTTGGGATGAAATCAGCTGCGCACCAGAGACACCAAATCATGGCCTTCATGATAGTCCTACGACTTTCTAGAAACTTTGGATTAATCTCACCTGTCTCAGTTTGATGATCAGATCTTTGGCGTCAGCAAACCATTGGACATTTCTTCGAGAAACGGCATCAATTATGTGCAAACAGAGCATTTCACGCTCCATGATACCCGATTCATTTTGCTGTGCAGGAGATGGTTCTCGCCACTCTCCAGAGGCGTCCTATAATTCCACCAGAATTCTTTCGTTGGAAAAAATGTTGCATGGAAAGGGAGAATGACACTACGTAAAACAAGAAGAAGGATTGTAATATCCAATTAATACTTATGATTTTATGTACAATCAGATCCTCTGCTGATCAGTGATGGCAACCAAACCCGAATATAGCATAAGGATAGAAGGATGAGGACAAAATTCGGCGTTTATCAATTCGGTTCTTTTCGGGATGCGCTCCGCATCCGACTTACATTCAGAATCGCAGCGATGTTTTGAAAGTTTTTTTTTTCGTAAGCGGTCCATGCAATGACTCGCGATGACCAGCCCATGGAAAAGTCAATGCTTTCATCTTCCCAGAGAGCCTGGCCTCAATAAACCGCGTCCTAAAGCTGAAAGGCTTGGTTGGCCTGGGCATATATCGATTCGAAATTCTGTCCCCGGACAAATCTCCGCTCTTATGTTAGTATTGGAATAGTTACTACCATGTTCACCCAAGTTTCGTGAGATTAGTCTCAATTCAGATAAAAAAACAGCGGAGTTCGATGGAGCAGTGAGGAATCATGAAACAGAAGCGATCAACCGTAGTGGTTTTCCGTGGAATGTGGGTTGCAATATTAACTTGTATCGGAAGTAGAGAAGGGAAAAGCTTGGCAGAAGGTTGTGATTGCTGCCTAATGAAAAGAATGGAAGTATGTTACAGTGAGGAGGGCCCACATAGCTGCGATGCTAGCCCTTTTTATTCACTGATTCCTCATGCCTTGATCAAGTCCAGTATTTCCTACCAGGTCTAGTGAAATACACATATTCTCGTTGAAATTATTCACTAGCGACTCAGCAGTCTAGGGTCCTTTTTCCCTCCCTTTTTCATATGATATGAATGACAGAACTCTTTTTGTACAATTTGAAAACAAGGTTTCAAAGCACCTACCATCACCCTGTTTTCCAGTAAGTTCACAAAATATGATGAATCCTGCATAAGTAGACTTCTTATTGGAGCACATTCCTCATCCTTAATCAGCTTTCGCAACAGAGCTCTTCGGCACGGCATAGAGAGCGATTCTTCCGACAAAAAGAAAGCCATCGACTCTCGAGCATAGCGTGACAGTAACGTCGCCAGAGGTGGAATCCAAGCATCGTAGGCCTGAACACAAAGCCATACATTTTCCCACTAGCAAGTCACTCGCTGGCGATCAATCTTAAGATTGTAATTGAGTTTTAAGACGAACTCTAGCAACGTAGCCCAGAAAGAAAAGACGAGAGAAACAGATGAATCAACATGGCACTTGGCATGGCCCGAAAATTAAGTTCACGCTATAACTTGGGCAAATAACGGGGTGAATGAAGAGGACGAACCAGCACAGTAGTCAAAATGCAAATGTGGGCCAAAGGAATTTACCGAGTCAAGAGGAAAAAAAAGGCCCAAAAAAACGTAAACAAATGACGACTTACACTCGTGCAATAGTGATGGTCGAAATAAGCTATGAATGCGGCAATATCCGTGGCTAGCTTGGCACCAGATGGATCATCAACAAGAAGTAGAAGACGAACAGTCTGAGTAATTGCTTCCACATCCTGACCGTCCAATGGTGGTGTCGAGGTTGGAGATGACCCAAGAGGATAACGAGTAACGTGCCCACAAATATAATTCTAAACTCAAATTGTCAAAGGCAAGTTTATCAAGAACAAACAAAAGAACTCTGAAAAGAGCACTCACAACAAGGTTAGTGGCCAAGGTTACGTCGAAAAGTGAAGTATTCAAGCGAATCAGACGATAAAGTTGAGCAACTGTCCCAGAGTTGCGGTTTTTGCCTTGCGACCCACGGAAGAGATCGAACACAGGCTCTCCCACAGTTTTCACACATTTTGCGTCTACGGGTGAAATCTAAATGGAATCCTCGGATAGCGGGACCATTAAAGCTAACTCCTTGACGTACCTGCATGAGAGCTTCTTCAGCGGCTTTGACCACAGAAGGTAACGGGCAGAGAACTGTTTCAATAGCAACACAGGCGATTTTCTCCAAGGTTTCGCTGCGTACTTGAACATCAATCGTTGATGTTGACGTATCCATCTTTTGAGAGGTAGCATTTTCAGCTTGCAGTATGAGCGCTTTGTACAAGGTTACCAGAGCTCCTGTAACGATTTCTTTACGTTTTTCTACTCATGCAGTGGACACTAAAGTCGTGTGGTACTTTTCAAACGCAAAATAAAGCAGGCCAGTGAGGTACAAATCGATTCCCCAGTTCGAAACACTGGCTGCTTTCATAGTCCGATGGCGTGCCGGCGTGGGTGCGTGCCAGCCGAAGTAGTGCAAGGGGGGAGGAGGGTGGCAGACGGTCTGTCGACGCGGTCGCGTCGCGCCCAAGCCCCTTGGACCGACCGTCTGCCTCCCTCCTCCCCCCTAGCACTACCTCGGCTGGCATGTCGGCGGACTATGAAAGCAGCCACTCGCATCACTCTAATATAGCTCCGAGAAGAACAAAACTTACTGGTAGCTAGGATTTTGTAGTACTCGGCCTTCTCGCTGACTGTATACGGTGGAAGGAAATGTGCAGGGCAACCGTCCATAGATTTGAAAAGTTCACTAAAAAACCACATTTGCTGCTATCTTAACTAGCGCCGCCTAGAAGAAAAGAAAACACGGCTCACTTACAGTTCAAGCATTTGACTGACGGGCATCTGACACACACTGATGAGCTCCTTGGCAAAATTTTGAATCCTCTCCGATTCAATGGAAATGTCAACGAGGGGCGGCTGGCACTTGAAGATCGTACACAATGCCTCCAAGCAACCACAACGATCAAGCAGAGCCAACACATTGAACTCATTCATGGCTCGATCTGAAATGCTTTGATGAGTTACTACCCACGTAGAAAGCGTTCAAAGAAGCATCATTGACTCCGTGTCGATCGAACAACCTAGGGCCAGACCACAACAATACTCAGGACTATTCGAAAGCAACAGCGCAGCTGTTCCTCTTACAGGTTCAAAATCAAAAACCTGTGTGGAAAAGGATAGTGGGAGGATAATCCATAGATCTGAGGAATTTGTACATCAGCCTGCATGACCATTATATTGTTTTCGCTCCTGGAGCCATCAAAGTGAAAACCAGTTTCGCTACAGCTTGCCAAACCGATCGCCCTTCAATCTTCGTAGCCAACCCCTTGCCTGTCGTGGTCAGCTCCCACTCACACCAGTTGGGTTCACGTTAATGATGGCTAAAGACATAAAGGATGAAAAAACACTCAACCTTGCAAGCCTTATAGGAAAAAAACTTGTGGCTTTAAAAAGTGTTTAAAACCTGACAAAAGGAATCATACAAAATACACACCAATCTGTGCAAGAAAAACTTCTCGGTAGTTAAACAGCAGCGTGGACAACGATATAGTCAGCACTTCCGCACATGTATTCAACATTGCCAATGTCTGAAAATGGGGATACTAAGAGTAAAAAATCACACAAATGGCTTATCGCAGATCGATTACTATACGAAAAGCCATGCTCACGATTCTAATGTAGAATTTAAGTGAACCCGAATGCTCTACAAGCTTAAATGCAATCTAATAAAGACAACTAAAGTCTAGCGACTGTTTTCATAAAGGCTAAAGTTTAAAGCCCTCTGACTTTGATTGATCCCGTCTGAGAGATGCGCCTTCGCGTTAGACTTCCATTTAAAGTCGTAGTGATGTATTGAAAGCGTATGTGGCCTATACAATGACTTGCGGTGGCCAGCAGATGTACGAGTCAGTGCTTTTATCCTCCCAGACGAGTCAGGTACCAATTAAGCAACCCCGGAGGGATGAAAGGTTTGGTTGACCTGGAGCAGATATCGGCCCAGGATTCGAGCCTGTGACAATGCGTGTGTAATTGTGCGCCAACTGTCTCTACACCACCTCTCCTACTGCTTTCTTACTACTCGAAAAGTCGTTATATCAACCGCGAACAAAAATGCTACGGATTCTATCGCATGGACCATCGATTACCATCGACCATCGATCGATTCCATACCTGCCTCTGTCTTTCCACTTGCCTGGTGGGATTATCCAAAAGGCGAAACGACAGATCACAATGAACCCACCTTCTGTCGAACGTGTTGATTTCCACTGAATAGGTGATTTGCAACACAGTTCATAAAAAGAGAAACTTTCGGATCATTGACATGGCAGCCCTTAAATAAGTAAAATATAGCTTTGAAAGAATGGTGGCGTTCTGCTTTCAAACAGTCGGAAAGAGACTGACCGTAAGACAGCGTTTTTGTAATTTTTCGATAGCTCCCACAGCCATGTCGACGGCACCACAGGATACTTGATCAGTCATACCAACAAGAACCTATAGATTAATGATAAACCGTGATCATCGAGAGAAGTTTGTTGATGAATCCACCTCAACCAAGCTCTCCATGAATCCGTTCATGTTGGTCAGAACTACCGACTCTGGATAGTTCTCAATGAAATACATTAATCCGCTGGCTCCTCCTAATCGTACGAACCATGACGAAGCATAGCACAGGGCGCTTACACTTTCTATCAAGTACCGTACAAATGGTATTCGTGGCATCTGGAATACCCACAGCAGTCGGAAATTTGGAAATCATTCAAAAGAAAAATTTCAACTGCTTACCACTTCCAAATTTGGTATCACTGCTCGACAAACGTCATTTATGTGCCGCAGTCCTACAATGGCGGATTGACAGAAATCTTTGGTTGAATCTGAGAGTGCAGTTACGATGGCATCTACCAGTATGCCACCATCCATGCACTGAGCCGGGTGATCCAGTGACATGAGAGCCGCTCTGCCTATAATCGCTCATTTCTATATGGCTCCTGGTATGGAAGCTAGGAGTTCGCTCGCAAAACACTTCCATTCATCAGCAAAGAAATTACTATTACTAAATTACTTTACTACATTTAAAGGTAAAAACACAAAGAAACATCTAGGCGAACAATACTTTAGCGCATATTTAACGCCCATACGCCGAGTTTTTTCGAAGGAGCTACTGTAAGGTGCCCTCGTGTGAGGATGATGAATATGATGCGCGCTGCGACGGAAACGACTGAGACACAATGTCATCTGTAAAGGTCCACTGACGGCTGAGCCTTCCAATCGGCTGATGTTGGGTTCTTCAAGGCCGGTGTTTCCCAACCACTTCCGACTTTCGTCCTCATGACCCATGACAGCGGTTCTGCTCGAGAACGCTGGGGTGCGAACCAGCGAGCTTTGATCGCAATTCATATGCTCTGGTACGTACACTGACTGGTTGCGAGCAGAATTCCTACGAAATTTAGACAGAAGCCAGGTATTTTCTGTCAGTCAAGCATCATCTAGCTTGGTTGAGCTCATGAATATTTTTTATGGGTTAGATTTTCACTTTAAAACAATATAGTCTTCACATACAGTAGCGCTCAAAAGTATTCGGCCAAGCAGTTTTTTGGCCGTAACTTTTTCCTCACTGGAGCAAATCGCATGGAATTTTGAAATGTTTAACTGAAGCTTATTTCACACTATCCAACATTATTCGACTGCAAAGCAGCAATGTCCACATAACTAAGGGGAAGGTGTTTGNATGTTGGGTTCTTCAAGGCCGGTGTTTCCCAACCACTTTCGACTTTCGTGCTCACAGGGACCCATGACAGCGGTTCTGCTCGAGAACGCTGGGGTG